CACGGATGATAATTCGGTCAATCAAATTTCTTTGCGTTAATTAATGTGATATTTAAATATGGACTGTCTTTGCATAGTTTAATTTTTTGAAAATGATTAGGAACTGTCATGTCAAATAAAATTATAATTTAAACGAGACATTCTTTTACCAGTGAATATGAAATAGGAATATGGAATATGAAATATATAAAAAACTTTTTATATTAATGTATGGGACTCGAAATCAGGAAATGTTTGATGAATAGTTTCATACGATTAAAGTAAGTTATGTCTATAGTTATTGAAATGTAATTAAATGAGTGAGTATGGAAACCGTACTTTGGAAGAAAATCTAAATGTATTTCTAAATTAATATAGAAAGTAACTAATTAAATGGAAAACCAACATACATTTATTTTTAAACATTACCAAAAATCTTTAAACAATAAAAGCACAATGAAGCTTAAGGCTTGTTAGTTAAGTGATCCTAATTGATAAACTATATAGAATTTGTTTATGAGTTAAGTTATAATAAGTTATCAAAGGTTCAAAAAGTAAATATTACAGTTTTGTAAAAATTTCCGGAATCAAATAGAACAATCCACAAGAAGCTTGATTCAGTATTTACTTTAGAAACAATCGATTTTATGTCTTTATATTTTGAAAGAAGATAAATAATGTTGGTGCACAATAAAATATAATGTTAAATTATATATATAAATAAATAATTAAAAAATAATGCAATTAAAAAAATAATATTAAATAATATTATTTAAATAATAAGCTGATAAATTAAGAAAACTCGTATATAAATCAAATTGAAACTTTTTTTTTGTAAATTTGATCATTTTAACAATTAATACAATGACGTCGCTTAAAAAAAAATTAAAATGCTATTTGCTATGATGCTATGATTAAAAAAAATTTGGAATGCTATTTTAGTTAATCGGGCAAAGAAAATTAAAAATCAGCCTAATTATTTCTAATTGTATGACTTTTATAATTTTTGACTTATTAAGCATGTAAAGATTTCCACTCTGAATCACCTAAATTGTACTGTGAAGTCTGAAATTAATGTGACAGTCGATATGACTTCTAAAGTCTTTCCATATATTTCATAAATATAATATAATCTCTCCTTAAATCTTTGCAATGTCAACAAGTAAGGACGAAATTAAACTTATATATATATATAAACTTATACTATACTTACATCAAGGATTTCCTAAGTATGCATAGTAAAATCGATCCCATAACTAATATATTTTGCGTTTAGTTATACTGTATTAATTCGGTCTGATCTAGAATGGTCTAGAATATGTAGTAAATTAATTAAAATTATCAGATTATAAAATCTATCAGATTGATTGATTTACTTTATTATTTATACAAACAACTCTATGCTTTTTCTTTTGGATGCAAGAAAAAATAAAGTTTGTACAGTTGGGATTGTATATAACACTCAGATTAGGAGGTCCACTAAAGAAGTGATTATGTGTTATGTATACTTGTCATAGTTGATGGATTTCATTTAAAATAAAAATTAATTAGCGTATAATTTTCATAAAAATAAACACTCGTAGTTACTTGCGACAATTTTAATTTCCAGTTTTCTCAAATTGTGCCGCTCAGTTTTTTTGGTTTTTAATAATATATGTTCAAAGTGCTAGAAAGTCACTTTCAACATCAACAATTCAAAAAGGTTCAGCATCAACAATTCAAGAATTTTGTACTATTTTTAATAATAAAACAAAATGTTGTTCAACTTTCAATTAAAATGATAAGATACACATGTAGCCCGTTCACCTTAAGGGGTATTCATGATAAACATAATCGTTGATCAAGTTACTTAGTAACTTGATCAACTTATACTTAGTAAGGTATTACGACCTACGACCTAAAAGATCTATTGTGCCTTAATGAATAATATCTATAGTACTTTCAATCGAAGACTGACAAACTAACAGTTGGCATTGTTAAGCTCCAAAGTACTGAATATTCAAAATAGACATACATTTATAATAATATGCACATCAAGTACTTAGGGTTATATTAAACAGACTGTCAAATGGACAGATGGCCACCTAAGTTATATGCTCTTTGTGGTTCTGCAGCAGAAAGGTATGTTATGCAGATAGTTCAATCACAATATTGACATATTGATTATCATCTGCTGTATAAAGAAGCTTGAACGTAAAGGTACAGTCATGAGCAATAACAGTTTTTTTTACGTATATATATATATCAATCAATATGTGTATATTCGTAATATTTAAAAAAAGCAAAAATATTGTAGTAAAAAAAGACTATTGTCGCCAAAAGTAAACAAACCTGAATATTCATAAGTCAGAGATAGTAAACTTGAAGAGGATCGACATCTAGAATATACATACTGGTTGTGCGATATTCTCAATATCATACTTGGCCTTGGAGCTATTGACGATATTTTCCTTATTTGCAAAAATTGTCACGGAAAACTATATGCTCACAAGTTTTTATTTAGTACGCAGATATTAAGCCTTGGCCAGGGTTATGGCTTCAGTTCTTGAAAAATCTTTTTTGAGGTTTTTCATCAGAAACTAATTTTGCAAGTATCATAAAATTCTAATAGAAAATATATTGGTCAAAACGGTAGTGTTCGCTTTTAAATCAATAAGACATGTGATACAGAAACTCTATAGAAAACAAAATGCTTACGTGGAGAACATCTTAAAAACCTCACCTTGAAGCGGAAATAATGTAACAAGTGATAAAAATAGTAGTTTGCAAAAAAAGATATAAATTCATATTTTTTCACATTATTTCTAAAGCGAATCGTTAGTTCAAACCATTAAATCAGTGAACTAAATTATTTATGTGGACATTTTTATTAATAAATCTTTTTTATTATGACTAGAAGACTTTACTTATATTAATTTGCCAAAACTGTGATATCACAACATAATAAAATTTAAAGGTTTTTCGAAGTTATTTAGGATTTATTTACAATGTTTAATAAATATTAGTAATATTTTTGACAAAATTACTAGAACTTGAAAATATTAATTTTAGTATAAAAATAAATTCTTGGTAAATGTAATAAACAAATAATAAAAATTTATAAAATCAAATAAAAAATATTTTATGAATAATTTAATTTTGATGAATGTTTATTATTATTGTAAAATAAACATTACTATTATTATTTTATTTAATAAACAGCATTTAATCAAAACTGTATGAATATTTAAATACAAAAAAATATTAGTAGCTTATTTGCCAGATTGAAACAATATTTACCTACCAGTTCGATAAATATACGCATAAAATTCAATTTATTTTAAATTTCATTCAAATTATTCATTTCATTTCATTTTAAAATTATTTCTGTTTAAATAAATATTTTGGATTCTGTTTTTCATTAGCTTAAAATTAGTTATAATTCTTGCAATAGTTGGAAATATGAAAAATATGTGAAATGAATAAAACTTTTATCATGATAACTATTTTCATATAATAATTGAAATTAAAATTTCTTTGAATTATAGTTTACTATTTACTTCAATCGTAAAATATTGCCATATTGCTTAAATATTTATCTATAAGATAACATCAACCTGTGAAAAATTCTAAAGGTTGACAATTTTGCGTTTCCAACAAAAGAATTTTTTACTAAAGGTGTAGTAAGAAAACTTACGACAAAAAAATGTTACTGTCTGTCGGTAGTAGTAACCAAAAAACCATTAATTTATTTTAATGAATTTCCAAACTTCAAGCATAATAAGAGGACGGCTTGATAAGTCAGTGACCTTTTGAATTTCCCGCGCAGTTACTCCATATGCAACAGTGCTGTCGTCAGCTGTAATCTACCAGTGGGCAACTTTCTAATTTTGAGCAAGCTACGTCGTTCAGTTACTGTTTGATAGCCGACAACCTCGTGAATTTTTACGGAAATGGAAAAAAATGAATTTCTTGTGCTGATGAAGCATTTCTGTCCAAAATCCACGAATTGGGATACGAACTGCTACCCCATCGAGCATATTCTCCAGATTTAGCCCCCTGCGACTATTTAGATTTGTTTCCAAATCTAAAGAAATGGCTGAGCGGTAAGAGATTTGAGTCGAATGAAGAAGTCATTACCGAAACAAACGCGTATTTTGAGAGCTTTGAGAAAACCTATTATTTCAAGGGAATAAGAAAATTAGAAAAACGCTGAACTAAATGTATCGAGCTAAAAGGTGATTATGTAGAAAAATAAAATGTTTATTTACCAAAACAATTTTGTTTCGTTCAAAAAGTCACTGACTTTTCAAACCGCCCTCGTACTATGTAGTCTTAATTTATATTAGAAAGTATTTTCAAATTTTTCATGCAAATTAATAATGCAGTAATACTCAGGATCGCCTGCAAACAATCAAGAGTGAACAAGGCTGTTACATACGTCTCTTATGAGTTCGAACAATATGTATCGATAGGGACTACTAAACTTTTGGTTGGATTTTATTTGAACAAATATTTCGTCTATATTGTATTGTCATCTTCAGGCTACTTGTTACTGTTACATTGGTATTTTTAATATATTCAATTTTGTTGGTTTTATAAGACATTTTAATTTCAATAATACATTGTCTTCATGACTAAATATTTTTTAATAATAATTTTGTATTTTAAACAGACTTTTTTACTATTATATTTGATAACTAGGTGACCCCGCGAACTTCGTACCTCGTAACAGTCAATAAATGTTATATTAAATTATAGGTAAACTAAATTTAGAAATTTAATAACGTCATAAAATGAATACAAAAAATTTATTGTATTCAATAGTTTATTAGGATATTGATATATTTAATTATTTTAATGGTCTGTCAGCAAGAACCTATGGGTTGCGCTCCGATTGATTCTCTTCAATAAAGAACCTTGTGATATACGATTATTTTTTGTTTTTTTATCAGGCGCAAAAACAAATAAAGCAGATAGTTTGCCTACACGTGAACATGCCACGTACAATTGACCATGTGAAAAACATGCATTTTCTAGATTCAGACCACAAACACTAAAGGATTGGCGAATGCAAGCCGAATAGAAAATTGAATTCGTTTAACCTCAAAGGGCATATCGATTGAGATCATTGGAATTCTCGGAATCCTCGGAATGAGAACTTCATCACTTTTGAATTTTTCTTTGAGTATCATTGCGTGAATCACATTGGCCATCAGTTTTGTTATCATTAATCGCGTTCCATTGCATAGTTTTAGTTGGTTTAGATTTCGAAGCATAATGACTACGGAACCAATCTTTAATTGTAAATTGTGCGGTGGTAAGCCAGGCACATCTAAGGAGTTCAAAAATTCAGTTGGATAGTTGATAGCTTCTTCTTCGTTTGTTACACAGTCAATAGATTTGAATGTATGCAGAGTACCAACGATTTGATTTTGAATTACAAAGTTTAAGTCATTCACATCTTTGTTCTTAGCTGCCAAAATTGCTCGCTCACTCAACCATTTTTTGTTTTTATGATTATCAATGATGTTCGGAAATACTTCATTGATGAGTTCGTCTTTTGATGAGACGAAATTGCAAAAATTTGAAGAAAATGCTATTAATCCGCTCGATTCTTCAACAGCCACACGGCCATTACCGATTAACAGCAATTGCTTGGAGAACTCTTCAGCAGATGTATCGTTTACCAATGCAACTCTCATGTTTGTTACCAGCTGAAGTTTCTTCACATAGCGCCAAAGATTTGATGATTTAAGGCAAGCATTTATTTCGTCGGCAGCAGTCGATTTTGGAATGACTGGGAGTGTTTGGCGAAAATCGCCAGACAGTAAAATCATTGCGCCTCCAAAACATCTCGAGTCATTGCGAAGATCTTTCAATGTTCTGTCAAGTGCTTCTAATGCGCGTTTGTGCGCCATTGTGCATTCGTCCCAGATGATGATTTTAGATGCTACTAAAACTTTAGCCATTGCAGAATGCTTCGCAATATTACATATCGGTTGCTCGGTAGTTTGAAGGTTTAACGGCAATTTTAACGCTGAATGAGCCGTACGGCATCCTTCTAACAATGTAGCCGCTATTCCAGAAGAAGCAACTGCTACCGCAATGTCGGAATATCGCACGAACAGTGGCCAAAATTAATGACATGAGGAATGTTTTACCAGTCCCACCGGGGGCGTCCAGGAAAAAAAAGCCACCATTTTCTTCATCAATCGCTTTCATTAATGTTAAACTTCCTTCTGTTGCGGATTCAATAGAGGTACATTAGTTTGAACTGATTGGTCTAATTCATGTCGATCATATTCACGTTCACGTTCCAATTCTCGATTAAATGCGTTATTTATTCCACGATCAGGAGCTGGCATTCCTAATCTGACAAACAAACTACCGCACGTATGGTAACATATGTCTTCGATCAAGAGCAAAGCCTGATTATGCATTTCATCATTCACCTCAAGATCGGGATTTCTTGAACTGACACGAATTCTATGTAAAATGTCTTCTGACATGTTATCCTTATATTTGTTCCACAGGTCACGTGGATTCGATGGTATATTGATAACAATATTTATTTATTATATTTGAATTTATTATATTTGAAATTTCAAATATTTGAAATATTTGAAAAAAAAATTTAAAAAGAAATCAATATCACTCAAACTGTCGAACTGTCAACAGTTTGAAACAGCATTTACAAATTTATTATCTTTGCTAAAATTAGTGGATTTTTCCAATATTTTATAATGTATTCTGCTATTCGGAGCGGAGACGATTCCAACAAATCAAAGATAATTAAAATCGGTTCAGCCGTTCTTGAGTTATGAGTGGTCTAACTAACACGACTTTCTTTTATGTATATAGATTACATATACTTTTTATAGACAAAAAATAATATATTTAACCATCAATCAATATATATGTAGGATTCCTTTTTATTAGAATCAAAACTAATTAATTAAATTACAAAAAAAATATATATAAATGAAAAAAAACTGTTTGTTCTTCCGCACACACGTCATTACTTCACACGTCTTCTTTCTGCACTGCCACACTACGTTTGTTTCTTCTTTTTTACTTCCTTATGCTCGTGTGCTGGCGTTGCCAGATCTGCGTCCCACAATCGGCCATCCTGCGATTCGTTCGACCCGAATGAAGTGTCATTGTCAGCAACTGCCCAAGGCTTCATATACTCTGCGCAACTGCTAGTCCGCTTTGACCCTTCGCTTTTTCCGATTTTTATAACATCATACGTATCGTTTGATTTAACTCTCTCGACCTCGTAAGGTCCTAAGTATTTTGGTTTTAGCTTCAGTCCTCCCGAAAACTGCGTCCTTTTGATTGCGACTACGTCGCCTACTTTGTACTTTACGGCTGGCCTGCGTCTTTGGTTATATGCATTCTTATTTTCTAACTGGATTTTCAGTATTTGTTGCTTTGCGCGTTGCCTCATTTCTTCTCGGTCTTCATTAAAAATCGTTGTAATTTCCTCTTCGATAATTTTTTTGATCTGAATATCTTCCTTTGTTTGCATTTTAGCACCAATTAATAATTCAAAAGGCGTCGTTCCAGTACTTCTGCAATACGTGGAGTTTATTATCTGCTGCACTTTGTCAACATTTTTATACCATTTAGTTGGATCTGCCATGCTTAATTTTGCCAAAACTGGTGCAATTATGCTATTCAATCTTTCGACTTGTCCGTTGGCCCTGGCTAAGCCCGGAGTAATTTTGATGTGTTTAATACTTTCACCCTCGCAGTACTTACGAAAATCATCTGAAGAGAAAGCAGCACCTCGGTCTGATATTATTTGATTAGGATTACCAAAAACTATGCTTTGCGTACGCAATCGGGATATAGCCTCGTTAGCTGATGTGGTTCGAGTTGGATATATCCAACAGAATTTAGTAAAAGAGTCAATAACGACAAAGATATGCTTATATTGTTTGTTCGTTGATTCGTTGATTCCAAAAAATCAACATGGTACGTGTGTAATGGTATACTTTCTTTAATCAATGAGTGTAGTTCGCCTTCTTGCTTACCCTGCTTCCGATTCACAACGATACATGGAATACAATTCATAATGTGTTTTTGTATTTTTTCTTCCAATTGAGGTATAAAATAGTCATTTCGGAGTAGTTCACTTGTTTTTTTTACGGCAAAATGTCCCTTTTCATGTGCATGTCTAATTATTTCACGCTGCATACTCTTAGGTACAACAATAAGTTCTTGGTCATTTCTCAGCTTATACAACAACTCTCCTTTCTTAAAATAATCGTTGTATGAAGATTTTTCTTGTAGAATATCCGATATCGTTTTCAGGTTTTCGTCTTGCATCTGTGCTCTCCGTATTTTAGAAAGAATATTATCTTCATCTATGCACATAACGGCGTAGCGGCTTAAAGCATCAACATGCTTCATTCGCGAACCAACACGATGCTGAACTTCGTAATCGTACTCCTCTAAGAACAATATCCAACGGGCTACTCTCGTGCACAAGTCTTTCTTTCCCAATGTCATCGCAAATGCGTTACAATCAGTAACGAGCTTAAAATGCATACCCAGAATGTATACTCTAAACTTTTTGAAAGCTTCAATAACAGCCAATATTTCTAGTTCGTAACTTGTATATTTTCTTTGTGCGTCAGTGGTTTTTTTACTCATATAATACACAGGATGCCATTGTTCGTCGTCTGGTGATTTTTGCAATAAAACGGCTCCATATCCTTCTATCGAAGCATCTGTATGCACTTCCGTTTCAGATTTTTGATTAAAAATGTTTAGTACCGGTTTTTCGCTTAAGATGGTCTTCAACGTATTAAATGCAGTAATCTGTTCATCTTTTATTTCAAATTTCACATTGTGTTTCCTTAAATCTGTTAAAGGCTTGGCAATTAGCGAGAATTTAGGTATGAATTTTCTAAAATAACTCGCCAACCCAAGAAAACTTTCCAATTGTTTTAATGTTTGCGGCAATTTGTATTTGCGTAGAGCTTCAACCTTAACTTCTGACGGTGATATTTTTTGATCTTGTATTGTGTGCCCTAGAAATTCCACTTTTCTCATTAGAAACTTGCATCTCTCCGTGAACGGTAATCTACGCGGCCTGGAATAAATGGGTGTTTCGTCTTTGAGCACTATGTACATCGCCACTTGTGTTGTTTTACATTGATTCGGCTGATAATTTATGATCATTTCACGTACCTGTCGTCTCGCATTCTCACTAGCGGTTTTGTCGATATCAATCGTTTTGTTGTCATTTACTAAGTCAATTTTCATTATTTTAGCTTCTTCGTCTATGGGATCGTCTTCGTCGAGGATTTTACGAACGTTTATACCATCACGATTAAATAAAATTTCAGCGTATAAGCATAGTTCTTCGCCAATGATCACTTGTAAGTCCATGCACCGAATTGGAACGACATAAAAATCTAATATGAACTCATTATCGTCAATTTTAATTAAGTTTTTAAAATGTCCAATCGGTTTAATCCTATTTGAATTGCGATCACTACCGAAACCAATTAAACATACGTTACATTTTTCTAAGATAGGCTTATTCAACTTGTTGTATAAGTCTTCGCGAATTATATTAAATTTACTGCCTGTATCGAATAGGGCTGCGCACTGTAAATTGCCAATAAAAATGGATTTGGTAGTTAAATTGTTTTTTTGCTGTAAACTGCGCGTATTTATTTTGTTTTCGGCTTGTTCACAGTTTTTAGAAATATGTCCGTACTGGTTGCACTTAAAGCATTTAGTACCTCGATTTTTATTTTTGCAATTCATGGACAAATGTCCCTTTTCACCACAATTGTAGCATTTCACTTCTGTTTTATTTGTTGAGAAACTTTTCTTTTCGCTTTGTTTAAAATCGTTAACTTGCTTACTTTTTTCACACATTGTTTCATATGATCTTAATTTGTCTTTAAATTCATTAAGGTTCTTTGCACCATATAGTATCATTTTATTTACATAACCGTCTCTAATTCCATCTATTATATACTGAATCAGCGCTTCGTCTTCGATATTGCCGCGAGATGCGATATCTTTCATTTGATAAAAATATTCAAACACATTTTCATCTTTTTTTATTTTGCGAGCACTAAGTTGCTTATGCAATTGTGCGCTATTTGTTGTTGTTCGAAACTCATTTAACAGGGCGTGTTTTAAAGCACACCACGAATTTAAACCTCTTTCACTCAAAATAAAAAGTTTAGCAATGCCTCTAAGAGATTTTTTTGCAAACACTAGTTTTTGAAACCCATCCCAACACATCAGTGCAGCTTGTTCCTCGAATTCTTCAATCCACCTTTCTACCGAAATGATATTTGTGCCATCAAATGGTCTAATTGAGTCCTCTATATCGCGAAAGTTCATTGCAAATTTTGGTGCTTCTCTTTGTAAAAATTTTGTACGTGTGTACGCTGCTGCTTTATTATTATCATCCACTTCAAACATTTTATTGCCATTATCGTCACGAGATT